CAGGTGGCGATATTTCACTTTAGAATGATAAAAAAGCCTTCTTTTGAAATAACAAAACAATTAGAGCTCGTGTCCCCACAGCGGGGTAACATTATGGGGGTTGGGTAATGGAGGGCGATGGGGGGGGGGGGGGGGGGGGATTAGGGTATGATCAACGTTCAACAACAGGTGGTGATATTTCACTTTATGCTTTCTACATTTTATACACGAATTTTACAGGGAATACATCGAGAGGACCTATTAAACGATGACCTAACCATCAAAACAAAACTTTAATAAATTAATCAATCAACCATCTCTGAAGTACATGTATTTCCAAAACCAAAATGAAATAGAACTAATAGAGACTATAAATATTAATACGATGATGAAATGGGAGGGTCACTGATTTAAAAATTAAATTAAATTGGAGCACAATCATAATTTCGTATAGGACCCTACATCAGCATCAAATTCATCTAGTAGCTATACTCACTGAATGCTCGTAAAGAACATTTTCGGGCACTCTGGTATTGATTTTGACTTAAGGCATATATTATAGCCTTTGAAATTAACCCCCCCCCCCCCCCCCGACATCGTTATGTGGAACATATTGGCCCGAATTCACAAAGGAGGTTTGTCGACAAAACCTTGGTTTTCGTACGTCATATGACGCGTTTTACGCGTTTTTTAAAAACCTGGTTTGTAAAGAACAAAAGGAGGTTTGGCGAAACAAAAGGAGGTTTGAGCTCAAACCTTGCTTTGGGAATTCGGGCCCCTAAGTTTTTAAGAGAGTGTCTTTTTTTGGTCATGAAATGTACATTGTTACGGTGTTACCATGGTGTTACGAAGCTACCACAATAATCCGAGTCCTGTTTCCTTGCCCCAATGACGTCACAATGTCATCCTTGGATAATACCCCTTCTTGTTTCCATGGTGTGAGGGTCGGGTCACCCCTTGACCCCGTCAAACGACCCCTAAGGGTGATCCACATGAACCGTTACCCCGGAGATGGCCCGCACCTGTCCTCTTGCTCGCCCCTCCCCCCTTAGAGAATATTATTTTTCGTCGAGATAACTTTCGATCGTCGTGAATGCGTTATCATTATTGCATATTATGTGTACAGGTACGAGTACTATAGGTGGTGTGCAGCACCCACTCATGTTCATTCATCTTTTCTAATCTTTTCTAATATTTAAATTAAAATAAAGTATGAATTATGTTTTTCCAACGGCCAAAATAAATGATCTAAATATCCTCCTTATACCGAGGATGATTTTGCAGTAATACAATTAACTAGACAGTTTATTTCCAGTCATTAACAGTATTAAAACACAAACTGAATGTGACTGTGAGCATTATATTCGTTTATACCGCTCCCATGAAAAATAGGCATCATTATGATATATATTTGCATTGTTTTTAATATAATACACGCTGTAGTGCGAAGGGGAGAGTGCGCATGCACATGTACTGCACTATGACAATATGCATCATAATTTTATCTATGCTTTCCATCAAAGGCTGACGCCTGGAGCGGTCTGCAATAGTACATGTACAATCCCCTGACAAAGACTTCTAAACCGTATTGATCGCATGCAGAATTGCATATGAACTTGGATGATTGCGAATCATAATTCAACCCTTTACGACCCAGAACACATGTAGGCCTACAATTTACGACTATGAGCGCGTTTATCTAGGCTTGCCACTAGATATGTACATATCGTACCCCACTATCGAACCCCACTATCATACCCCACTATACGATCGTGATTTGCGGGATGTCGCGTTTATCTACTCTTCACGATTCAAAATAAAGGCCTTGTGTCTGCCCAGCTGTTTTGACCCGGGAAGCAGACAGTTTCTCGGAGGTCAAATCCACACATATGCTTGTACACAACACATGTGTGGTCCTATTTGTATGTGACGTTCAAAACAGCTTTGCGTTTATCGACCTCTCAGAAACGTGATTCTGGCTGTATGTCACATACAAAACGCACCTTTTTGCGTCTTTTGATATGCCCATATCTAAAGACGTTTGAAAAAGGCTTTGCGTTTATCTACTTCTAAATTTGCCTGAAAGACGTTTGAGAAACCTGATTCTAGCCAAAAATTTCCTAGATAAACGCAACCTATGAAGTGCCACTCAAGCTCTTGGTTATTGTAGTTGAGTAAACATGTGATTGATTTGATTTAATAATTGTTAAGGTACGTATTAAACTACGTGTTGTTATATTCATATATATATATATATATATATATATATATATATATATATATACATATATATATATATATATATATATATATATATCTTTAACACGGGGAAAGGGAAACGGAAAACGTGCTTCATGTATGATGCAGGTCCCCGGGTCGAATCCGAGCTGGGATGTCGGTCAAATGATGATGATGATGATGATGATAATGATGTCGTGGCTGACAATGGCGTAGCCTGGGTCTAGTCATGGGGGTGGGGGGGTGGGGGGAGGGGAGAGGGGGGCATCATTCTTACTACTTAACTTGGTTGATGCTTTGTGTATCAACAGGGTCACCAATATAGGGAAGGGTTCTATCATCTTACCCTCTCCCTTTTTTTTTGGGGGGGGGGGGGAACTACTCGACCGTGGATAGAAGAAGTCCTATATATGCCCATGTAGCTTTATCACTTGTAGTTGACCCGCGTCTGTAGAAGCCTGACCAGCAGCAAAACAACAACAAAATTACTACAACAAATCAAGTCTTGCGATGATGAGGAGACAAAAAGCAGATAAACTGACATTCCCTTAAAAAAAACCAAAACAAAAGCAAACCCTCCTTTTTTTAGCCTTTCTATTCTTTAATCTCTTTCTATTTCTCTAATCTCAAAAACCAATTATATTTCCCAATTTCAGAAGGCACAATAACAACCGATTTCAGCTGAAAAGCTGTCATAAAATCGACAACGTCAATATAGCCAACTTCGCTATTCAATGTTAATGGCGTGATTATGGTCCACTGCGCCCCTGACAATATTGTAGGTACACCCCCATAGAATTTAATAAAAAGGATTTGTGGTGGCCCCTAAAGTGATCCCTGACAAATCTATTGCAGAACCCTTGTAATCTGGACAAATTGGTTTTTATTCAACCGCCTTTTATAAGGACAACGGGTTTGTTTTTTGACAGCGAATAAAACCATCACTATCAGAAAGGTTCAAGTTTAATAGATTGAATAAACATTAAACATTTTTTCTTCTTCTTCAACAGAGTAGGATAAGAGCCCCTTTGCCTGGTGATTTGTCGTATCTTCTTCTTCCTCTTCTCTTCTTCCTCTTCTTTTTCTTCCTCCTCTCTTCTTCTTCAACGGATCATCATGCTATACACTCTACAGTCTACAGACATGGACAAGCGAAGCAAGTTCAAGTCCAACTGTTTCACACAGGAGACTTTGGCAATGCTTTCCAACCATGTTCGCGATGTATTTCCCTAATCATTCGAACAATAGAATACACAATACCTCTATACATAAAGACTACCAGAGCAGACAACCGAGGCATTTAGTTACAACGTGGGTACCTAACCAGGCTATGCTAGCAATAAGTTGTTTTCTCTGTACTTTGTGTTTATCTTGCAACCAAACAAAAGATGTGTATATTGTTCCATGGTGATGAACAGTGATGAACAATGACATTGTAGTATGTTTGTACTCGAGCTCCATCAGATACATGAACAAGGCTAAAATATCATGCTTTTGTTCACGGTGTCGAAAACTTGGTCTTTCCCACTTGGGGGGGGGGGGGGGGGGGGGGGTAATGCCAGGGTTAATACTTTCCAGTCACTAGATTACAAACGGGGACAGCATTTATTCTGGCATACAGCCCTTCGTTTATCATTCCCTTTATGGGACCTTGTGGCAATGGTGATGATGAAGGTGACCATTGTGAAGTCAGTGACAGTGATGTATAATGATGGGGGAAATGATGGAGATGGTAATATCGATGAATAGAATTGAGACATTGTTACCAATGGTGATGATGGTGGTTGTGGTGACGTACAAAGTACTGTAGATGATGCTGATGGTGATTGTGGTGATGATGGAAGTGGTGGTAGTGTTAGTGGTGGTGATAGTGAAGATTAGGAGCAGGAGGAGAAGGGTCATGGTGCATACTGAGCCTTAGTTGAGGACATCAACAAGGGACAATGGGGGCGGTGGTGATGATGGTGATAATGATGATGATGATAATGATGATGATAATGACGATAAAAATTTCAAGTTGACCTGTTCATCAAGCTTCACCCCCTTCCTATTCAATACTGCTAAGGAAGTAAATATGCAATTTCTGAATTTCTGAAATAATCACATTGCACATGTTATGCAGTTCTCATCCAATCTATAGATAAATGATGTTGCCCATCTCATCTCGTATATTATTGAGTCTTGATAAGGGCAGAATAGATTTCAAAATAGAGGATAGAGTGCAACTGGGTTATTTTCGTCAGGCTCTGTGGCGCCATTTTGAATTTAAACTATACACGATCTGTATTGAGGTAATCACCCGCATATAATATCCCGATTTGCATACCAAACGGCATCTCGCTGTCTAAGGCCACGCCCAACTGTTTACCATCACAAAGGCGGATGACGTCAGCCTACAGAATCGCAAGGGTAATACAATAGCCGATTTCGAATACGACATGATATGCTCCGTATCAAAATATTTCGAAATCGTGCGAATGTAATTGCAATGAGCATTATCTATGGTCAAGTATGTAACCGTTAATTAAGATGGAATCACCTTTCACAAGATGGCAAAAGGCTTATTTGACCAAAATTGCCATTAACGACTGCCATGAATTTACACGAATTCATATTTATAAATATATAATGACATGGTAATCATCAGTGGCTTCATCTATCATAAATTAGCAACGGGATTCATAAACGATATTTTGTCATCCCCAACACGATTTAAACTTTCCACAGCTGCAGAGACAATAACACGTTTTAAATACAAATCTTAAAGAATTGTGTAGACTTACTTATTCCTACATCTGCGGATTCTGTCATCCAAAAGCATATTGCTGCTAAGATACAAATCTGTAGCGTCCTTCTCGATCGCGAATCGTCTTTCCTCTCTCTTCTTCTCGCCATCTTTGCTCAATCCTCCTACAAATTATTCCTGATGACACAGTGTCATCCAATGATGCTATAAATCCAGAGGTATAAGACCGTTAGATCCAAAATTTTACCAGCTTTATTATATTTCGTTTGGCCAGGAAATGACAAAAATTTGTTTCAACGTTGATCTCTCCAAAATGATGTTTCATCGCACGGTCGTGTGCATGTAGCTCGGTGTCGACAACGCAAACCCGAGATGGAAAAATCCGAACGCCGATAGCAGAAAGACGAAATAAAATAAGCCGCCCGCCAAGCTGGAATGCTGGACCGGATCACTTTGAACGAAAGGGGGGTTCAAGTCGTTCCACGAGAGCGGAACAAAAGTTCGGAAACTCGGCGAGCGCTAATGAGCCCGTGACGAAACGCAGAGCTTTTGAATTATAAACAAAAGCGGTGCGAAACTCATGCATATGCATGACTTGATGCAACGAGGGTTAGAGGAGGCGGGGCTTGTGTTCGGGAGGCGGGCACGTTATATTGCGTCGGGTGACGATTCCATCGAAACAGTCATCATTTGAAAATTCAGGAGTTGGGCTTTATATCTTTTTATCCCAACCACTCCACGAGGAATTTATGGATGATTTCAGAGTAAGCTTGTGGTCACAAGGTAGTTGCTTCACGATGACTAATGACTTCCGCCAATGGATGCAGATCAAAATAATGTACAATCATGAGTTAATAAAAAAAATACTTCTTCTTCTCTTTCTTGCCCACCCCATATTTGGTAGAGTAAGTTGTGTTTCATCCAGATAGTGAGATCGACCCTCAGTTTTGGATCCATGATTCGCCAATAGTTTTGGAGGAAATGCTCTTACAAAAGAAAGGCAACAATATGATATTCAGGTCTTACTAATTCTCAAGATAAGCTCGAAATGGTTCGAACCTCGAAATTTCGTATTCAAATAAAGAACAAATGTAAACTTGGGAAAAGAAGCTTCATTTTGGCACATTCTAGTCTCTGTAAGTTACATTCATATTTGTTTGAGTAGTAGCATCCAATCAAGTGTCACCGTTTGAACGTGGATAGAGACGAAACTGCTCCATTTGGGTGATTAATTTATTTAACGAGATCATCGATTATCGGCCTACATTTTGTGCATAAATGAATTTTTTGTGAACAAATTAAGGGTAGGGCAACAACATGTTTTTTTGTAACAAACGTGATGATAAAGACAAAGTAACGCATTCAGAAATTAGCTTGCCAGTTTTTGTCGGGCTTTCATGACGACTTCAAATCAAAATAGAGAAGAAAAGCCCCCTTTAGACTCCACAAGACATTTTGTCATACCGGATGATTGAGAAAATAGTTTTCTGCACAATATGCATTTTCTTTTGAATGCAAGCAAAGGACAAATAATTTCCTATTTTGTGGTTTTGCAATATTCATACTCCGCTGGCCACTAATAGAAATTCTATGCTGGGATATGAAATTGTATTGTACAAGGATTCAATTGAGTTTGTGGTATTTTAGTGCACTATTTCGTTGTTATTTCATTGTTGGTGTGTTTGTTGTATTGACATCAAAATGGTCGCGCTTCACACCATGGTGTAAATGGTTATTCATCATCACAGTGAAATAAATTGAATGAATAACATATGGTTTGAGGAAGGAAGGTAGAAAAATATAATGAGGGAACAAAAAGGAGAAAAAGAAGGGGAAGAATAAGAAGAAGAAGAAGAAGAAGAAGAAGAAGAAGAAGAAGAAGAAGAAGAAGAAGAAGAAGAAGAAGAAGAAGAGAATGTGTCATCAGTGGTTCTAAACATGATCTTAACCAAAAGAACGAGAAGCGATTCCAACTTTCCATCTTTCATGTACACCCTTCATGGACGACATTTTCACACCACTTTTCATGATGTGGAACTTTTTGTTGTTTCTTTCCAAATCTATTTTAAATTTTACTACAGTTGTTTAACCAAACAAGCTCTTCGATTGATGCGAAACTTTGGTATCAGAGTTTATTTGATTAAGAACTGCGTGCCCTGGTAAGCAATTACTCATCGATTGTCAAACTTAATTGTCAAATCAGTTGATACCATTAATAACCATGCCGATATTTACTCCACTCCGCTTCATAACACTTTTCAAACACAGTACTTGAAACAAAATGCAATGAAATCATGCATGTATCCGTCAATCATCGGCAGTCGATAACTCTCTGTTTTGTTCTTGGTAAATATTGCATGGTATGGTTTCCCCCTGAAATGCGATTGGCAAAATATGACTGTTAAATGGTATTCTTGCATGAAAATGAAGGCCACAGATGAGTTGACGAATGAAACAATAGATTTTGAAACGATTGATTTTTATTGCAAATGACAATATACATTCTAAAAATATGGAGGAGTTTTCCAATACCGATTCATGACCAAGTATGATCTGTTTGGGTGCATGTTACTACAGCGCCTTTTTTGAAGTTGTGTATAATGTTTGCTAACATTCCAAAAGGAAATAGATCATTTTAAATTTATGAAAATAAAAAGAAGTTCTTAAGATTATAATTAGCAATTAGTATTTTGTCGGATATGTTATGTTCGAGAAAGTATCTAGCTACGTGTACTACTAATACATAACAACCTTGGATTCTACACCGCACTTTATCTTCAGAGAAAATATAAATGCGCTTTACAATATTAAAATAACAAAATTACAGATGACTACAAATTCATGAACTAAACGAATATCAAATAAGAACGAGATTTATCGACACAAATCAGGATCCGAACACCAACTATAAAGAAATGAAAGCAAATTATGACAAAGAAAAGTAATGTAGTTTAAATTATGATGAGATACAATAGTGCAGTTTAAATGACATGAGCTAGAAAGCGTTCTTGAACAAGTACTTTTGTTTGTGCTTCTTAATTATTTGGCTAAAGGCCACGAGATCGACAACGTCGATCTTTGATTGTGGGCCTTCTGAAAAAGTATCTGATGATTCAAGAGACCAACTTCTGACGAGACCGACTACAACGAGACCGACGGTCTCGACTGTGCATTCTGCAAGGTATATCAGAGGGTTCTCGAGACCAACGGCCCACGAGCCTTCTGATAAGTTTGCGGACAATCTAAACATTGCCATATCACACCGCCCGAGATTGAGAGAGTTTAGGCATGATTAAGGCTTGGCTAAATACTTGACAGCAATATGATGTCAAGTGAGAGTCTGTGCATGAGGAGTACCCTCCAACAACTTTTCTGATGGTTCATGGGACCGACACTGTAAGTCTCGCGGGCTGACGGTCTAGCGGGATGTCCCGCGATCGGTCCTCCTCTTCCTGAGAAAAGAATCTAGTGTCTTGGATAAACGGAGTACATATTGATTCGTCGAATAATGCCTGGAAGCAGAGCGTCACTGGTAACCGCTATCGCCTACTCAAACGGATTTAAAGACAATATATAAGCCATCGACGCTAATCGCTCTGAAATCATTTAGCATTTTAGGGCGGTAAACCACTAATCCGGTAGTCAGTCGGGCTTAATCCGGACCTAGCCAACATATTTCATTTCTGTGGCCTAGTCCCTGTGATCCTGCCACCCTGCCATCGCGTAAGTGTTTTAAATATCTAACAATGAGCCCATTTTAAATCAGGGTTTTGTGGAACTACATTTGAAGAAAATCCCATACAGGTGACATGTTCTTCTGTCATAAACAATGATAAAGGTCACAATTAACATCATTTTTTTTTTAAACCAGAAACAACCTTTACTTGAAACCACTCCGAACCAGTGCTTCGACCACCCAAATGCCTTCGAGAAATACACGGACAGTGACAATAATAACGTTTTCTTTTCCATTGGCGGATTCGAGGGTGGGGATGGGTGCACCGGCTCGTTCCATCTTTAGAAACCCACATTCCCCATTAATTGGGTAATTCTTTGGAATCATGCCCAATATAAAACAAAAACATGGCTCCGCCTAAAATTGGCGTTCTTGTTTTCCTCTCGACCCCTAAATTAATGACTTTCTTTTATTTCTATTACTAATTAAATCTACTCAGCTCTTTATGAAAGAATGCAATCACTGAGAGTGCTTACAGAAACCTGCTTTGGAATCGTTCCCATTTTTAAAACAAAATCATGGATCCGCCAATAATTGCCGTCCTCGTTTTCCTCTCGATCCCTAAATACACGACTTTCTTTTATTTCTATGACTTATTAAATCTAATTAGCCCTTTATTAAAGAATGCAATCACACAGAGTGCTTACATTAACCTGTTTTGGAATTGTGTCCATTCTTAAACAAAATCATGGATCCGCCAATAATTGCCATCTTCGTTTTCCTTTCGACCCCTAAATACATGACTTTCTTTAATTTCTATCACTTATTAAATCTACTTAGCTCTTTATTAAAGAATGCAATCACTAAAAGTGCTTACATAAAACTGTTTGAAATCGTTCCCATTTAAAAAAAAATCATGGATCCGCCAATAATTGCCGTCTTCGTTTTCCTTTCGACCTCTAAATATATGACTTTCTTTTATTTCCATTACTAATTAAATCTAATAAGCCCTTTTAATATTAAAGAATTCAATTACTCAAAGTGCTTACATATACCTTCAAACCACGTTACTTGCTCTGGATATGTCCATGTAGATCAGTACAGTGATGTTCACTGACTCATAAATACAGTTGTATCCAAGTCGATTTTAAGTATAACATGCATATACCAAAAAAGTTATGCCGTCCTACAAATTTCGTTTTTGTCTTCTCAAATATTTGATTAAGATGTCACAATATTAATCTGTAATCAGGGGCGGCCGAGCGACTTCTAAAGTGGGGGGGGGGGGGGGCACCAAGAAAAAAGGGCACCTACAAAGGAAAATCTCAAAGCGAAAAAATACAATTTTTTAGACATTGGTGTTTACAATTATCAGGGATGATTTCAATATTTGTTTTACTTTATATGCCATACAAGATATTGCTTAAGCATCATGCTTTGCAGTTGGGTTTGATTGTCTAAAAAATTGCGAGCGAGGAAAAATGTTAAGATGTGTGAGGTCGCAGTGCGAAAAATTACATCTTATAAAGAGGAAAACCCAATCCTAATGGGGTTATAAGCACATTCCCATAACGGAAGACTGAAAAGACCTTTGATAAGTAACATAACTACATCTATAGATGCATACGAACGTAGCAAGCGAGCTTTGGGTGAAATTGCTCTTAGTCGCTTGAAATTAGTTAGGACGCTTTTAATGATGAGAGGAAAAGGGGACACTTATCAGGAAAGAAAAGGAGCATGTGCCAAAGTACAAAGAATAATTATCAGAAGTAAAAATGGGGCACTTCTTACA